GAGTTTCTCTGTGTTTGGGAATTCCTTCAGAGTTTTTCCACACGCTGCAACTTTTCCTGCATCTCATCCCTTGAGGAGCAACCCACACCACAGCAGCCTTCGCATGAGGGTTCTCCAATTCAGTTTACCAGTAAACAAATGAAAGGAGGACAAATTGCGATAGAAAGGACAATTAAAACRTGCTTCGTGAAATTTTCAGCCTAAAAACAGCTTCTTCCCGACCATTAGCCTCAATATTCATGGAATGCTCTCTACTATCCAACAAATAGAATCAATCATATTAATGCATGGAAAAAGGAGATTAGCCAGAAAGTGGTATACAAAATCTAATCATGTTCTAGTGAATGAAAGATGAGCAGGAAGGTCAAGGGGCCTTTCCCTGTGATTTGTTCCAGAAGTCACTCCCACCTGCGTGCCCGGGTGGAAGGGCTGCTCCGCGTGCAGCCCAGCGGGGAGGGAGCAGGGAAGCACCATGATGCAGAGGCGGCTGGTGACAAGGCGGCCACCAGGAGCACAGCAGGCTGCTGTGACAAGCAGCAAAGGAAGCAAGCATGGAAAAGGCCTGGATTCACCCCCGCAAAGCGGCACTCTGCAGCCTTCACAGTCTGTCTCCGTGGGTGAAGTCGCACATTCCTCACCCTGCAGGGTGCTCACGTTGGAGCAACGGCTCCTCGCAAGGTGCTTCAGAGGCCGGGTACCTCCCAGGAGCTGCCGCATGCACCACAGGCCCCAGGAGCTCCTGGCACAAGCGGGATCGCTCTGATCTCCAACAGAATTCCGGAGCACTTCCCCCAGAGCTCATCTCCACGGACGACGAGTTCGAGAAGAAAGGGAGACTTTGCAAGCTATTTCCCAGGGAAGCAGCTTTTTCGATACCACTGCGTTAGGGCCTTTGCAGAATTGGTTTCCAATTAAAAGCACGACTGAACTCTTCAAAGGGCAGGAGGAAAAACCTCACGCTGTACAAGTCAAAAGAAATTTACTTCCACATGCTGATGAAGATGTAACCAACACTTAAATGGGGATTTTAAAAGYCACTTCATACACATTTTTTATTTGCTCCCAGTCCTATGGGAAACAGGAGCAAGGAAGAAGAGCATGTGAATACTRCCGATAAAGTAGTGGTATTTAACTGGCTTTTACAACATGGAAGCTTAACTCCATGCACAGGAAAAGACAACTTTCACACTGGCATTATCTAGGCTTTAACCAGTGATGAAATAAGTTATTTCAAGAAACATAATAAATAATCTTCTCAAGTCTTCTGCCTCATGCACACACCAAGGCAGGATAATGCTTGTCAACTTTCAAATATAAGCAGTTACTGACTGGAAAAAATCAAAAAGCAAGTGGCAAGTGTGAGATGAAATCCATTTTTCAGCAGTCATCTGGCAATCTACTTTGCAAGCACCTGCAAGGAACAGCAGCCGCCTTGGAGCACCAAGAAAAGCAGCYGGAGGGACCCGCTTGGAGCACGCGAGTGCGTCGGGACAGAGGGACATGGGGCAGCATGATGGAGTCTGTTAGGTTACAGTAAGAAATAAAGAAGCATATTCCTTATATACAGGGAAGGCAGAGCCTGCACTGCTCAGAGGGCTGAACAGCTCCAMCAGGTTCCCTAAGTGACTCCCATTTCTGCAGCTCGGGGCTCAGTGGCTCCGACAGAAAAGCAGGACCCTGTGGTAAGCAAAGGAAGCAATTCCGAAGSAAGCCATTTTCCCAGGCCACCACGTCACTTCTCAGCAGGCCACCATGCGGTGTGTTACCAGGTAAGACCTGGTGCAAGAAAAGCACCAGAGGCCAACGCAGTGCTCAAGAGGGATCCAAAACGGTCCTGACCCTTCGCACACCACAACACTTCTCATCTCAGCTGCAGCAAACCGCCTCTGCCCAGCTACGGCCTTGTCCCTCGGACCCGCCTGGATTCCCCCGCTTCCCCAAATACACTTGCAAAATACAGCATAGTTATAAAAAGAGTTGGAAAGCTTCATTATTAAAAAGTCACCTACATCTCTAAGTAAATTCTCCTCTGAAGATTAGAAACATCTAATGAACCTTCAAAACATACCACACCGTCTGTCACAGCCAGACAAATGTCAGCTTTATCTCACGGAACTGATTCATGGGGCACGAGCAGCAGCTTCTCAATAGTTTCACCAGCAGAACAGGCAGCCCTGGACTGCCAACCACCACTGCTCTGGGAAGAGCATCACCACCACTGCTGACCTGGTCAGTGCGCTCCCTCCCCTCACTGCCTCCCATTTTCTGMCTCAAAAGCAAAAGAGAAATGGTAGCAAACAGCGGGCTGCCTTTTTTTTCCATTCCCACAGCCTCCAGGATCCCTGGTCTATGGAAATCCTGCAGCATCCAGCTCCCCAGGGCTCGAGGGCAAGGCTTCCACCCAGCACCCGCCTTGCCTGCTCACGCTGCCCTGGCAGACTGCAAAACCTGCTCTGCCCAACATTTGCACCGTACGCAGCAAAACAAACACTTGCTCTTTGTCAAGTCCCATAAACACACACGTACGGAAATGGATTAAGTCATTTTCTCTGCCACCTTCACTGTCAACAGCAGCAAAACACTCCCAAGCCCACAAGCGCAGTCATCACACCTACCCACCCCGAGAAGGTCCCGCACCAGTTAGATGAGACAACAAAACGGCGCCCGAGGCAGCCGAGCACCTTTCTCTGGTTACACTTGTGATCCTGAAACTGCAGCCGATACACACAACAACAGCAGCTATTTTGAAAGAGGGGAGGATGAACAAAACGGATTTTCATCAAGTGCAGCCCAAAGCAAGCTTGCCTAATGGGCTGAGTCGGTGCTTTTGTAGATATCGTCATTAAAGAATATTCCATAACTTGAAAATAGACACGAGTTATACTCTGGATGGAATTTAATTGTTTGTTTGTGTCTACTTCTGGACCAGATAAAAAGTATAATGCTTATGAAATGTTTAGCCGCAAGGTATTTCAATGGAAGGGTTTATTTGAGTCTATCTGCCCCATTACTGATAATTAAAACTAGGTTTTCATAGAGGAAGTGGAAAAAAAAGGTTTTAGCTATATTTTCAAGCTGAATCGTATCAACATATTTAAAGAAGAGATATGAGCTCCAGTTTTTCCCCCCTACAGGCAAAATTATTTAAAAATGGGAAAAGTGAGTCATCTGGATTTAATTACCCATCTCTGAGTTGTGCAGGCCAGCTTTGAAAAATGAAATTTAAGATGCTTTGTAATTCTGCTTATGGGACTAAAAATCTTACTTCCCGAGAATACTAAACCAGGTCTCTCTGAATTGACTGGTGTGTTTATGCTGCCTACGCGCACTTGCTGATGGTATAAAAATGCAGGATAAACCTTCAAAAGGAAGGCGAGTTTCTGCTCGCCGCTCCGGATGAAGCTCCAGTCTGCAAGGCCTGTTTCACCCACCAACAGCTCTCCCCTGCACCGCTCTAACAGCCAGTTCAGTGCCCGGTGTTGCAGGGTTCAGCCGGCTCCCAGGGAAACTCCACCAGGAGGAAGACGTGAAAGATGCAGCACGAAGGTGGCTGGGGTCGGGGGAGTTCCTGCATACATCGTTATTCCCTGTGACACAGTCCCCCGGAGCCRTTTAAGCCTTATTCCTTCAAAATAGCTCTTACGCTCCATTCTCAAAAGTTTTTTGCATGCGTATTATTGAAAGTTGAGTGACTTCATTTTCTAAGATATACCTGCCACTTTTGAGGCTTTGCCACAGTRTATTTGTGGGTAAGTTTATTACTTTTCCATCAGATTCCCTCTGACAGGCATTGTTTTATTTTTGATATGACAAGAYGCAGCGCTGCACCGGCAACACCTCCAGGCTGAATAATGTTTCTTAACCAACTACATTCATCCTTACCCACAWAGCACAGGTGACTGATCCTCTCCGCAGTGCATAATGGCTAGAAACTAGCAGTGCCCTAAAATATTAATGCATGCTAATAAAAGCATTTTCTTTTCCAGGAAACTGCAGCATCTAATTTTCAAAGGGGTCCTTGGGCACAGTAAACAATTGGTACGTAGTAAATGGCTAGTTCTTGTATTAATACATCCTGAATATTCAAATCCTACTCTGCCCTTAATTGCCAGGCAAGTGTAAATTACTTAAATGAATATTATTTGCACCAGTGACAGAATCCTCATAAATAATTGTTATTTAACTTCCTGCTGATAATCCCAGGCATCACCTAATTATTTAAAATGCTTAATTCTTCCATTCCAGAGGAATTTTGGGTCTAAGACTACTCCCCATCATTTGCTACTAGACAGGAGTTTTAACTGTTTGTTGATGAACCCACAAAGCAGAAAATCCAAGTGTCTACATCAATTAGACARAGCTTTCCTTTTCCATAAGCAGTATGGGAAATTCCTTCTGCAAGCCCTCACTTCARTTTCCTAGCACTGATCATTTGGCCTGCTCTAGTATATTGAAAAAAAATCAATGGGGCATTTATTATACATAAATGCAATGTTTCTGAAAGCTTGCACATTTGAGCACTGCTCGAGCAAACTTAATGGGATGAGAGGAGTACATAGATTCCACACACAGCCTCCTTTTAAAGAACAAACTCGTCTGCAGCCATTTGCTGCAGGTTCATTAACAGTAAAGTCAACTTGTCAGCAACATATTTAGTAATAATCAGAAGGCAATTTAACAAAAACAAGGTTTGCTAATGGTATAGCCAAGAGTTTCTTGTTTTTTATTTTTGTAATTCTTTATTTCTATTAACCAGTAGCATCATACTGTGAAATCTTTTTGCAAAAGCATGCTTTGAAGTAGGTAACAGTCACTGTAAAACTTCCCAAGCAAATAAAACCCATCCATCACTGGAATGGTATAACCTCTGCCTAGGAGTGACTAAGCATTACCTTCCTTCAATACTTGCCCTACTCGCTCTGAACTTCCTACCATTGCTCCTATCTCCACACGTGAAATTCTGCCCTAGAGATCAAAAACAAGCACAGCCAGTAACCTACCAGAGCGATGACGCCTCGGTCCCAGCGACTTCTAGAACATCATATCCATCTTCCAGTTGGAAATCCATGAAAACTAGAGCAATCGTATCTCCAGGTTCAGCCAGGATAGTCCACGTGCAGTCTGCGTTATTGCCGTACTCCAAAGGGAAATGAGGGCTTGAGATAATTCCACTCTGTCCCCGCAACGTCCCTCCACACGCATCATCAGCTGCAAGACACAACGCATATACAATTTGTTCAGCTGCACAAAGCAGGATGACAGAGTCACAGCAAAACATTCAAAGCCTCAATACTTTTTGTAACAGGCTGWAAACTCTCGTTTTAAATATCACTCCAAATTATATGATGGGGATAGACAGGAGGTATTTTTTCCACGCGCTATTAAGAAACAGATGTTGATAGATACAAAACCCTATTAGGTCATTCCGTCTACCTCCTTCTGAATGCCAGCTTATTCCCAACTGTACATTTATGAGTGATTTGTTTAGTCTAATTTTAAACATCCCAAGTGACAGAGTTGCTACCACATCCCTGGGGAAGCAGCTCCTCAGCCTAATGCATCTTGCTGTCAGGCCGCTCCTTCCTCGCACGCTGTTCTTGTGCTCCTTCCTTGCAGCCCTTGCTCCTAATTCGGATCCTCTGAGGTGCTGTCTATAACATCCCTTCCATCTCCGTAGCAGGAGGCAGGAGGAAAACTGCAAGGAATTCAAAAGCTGAGAAGAAAAAGGGTTTCACAGGCACTGGCCCCTTCTCCCTTTCGTTTGGCAAGGGCTGCAGAGCTCCCCATCTAACAGAATGTGAACGCAGTGAAACACGCCCAAATSAAAACACTGAATATGCCTTTAGCCAAGAACGAAGGACAAGGGAATTTACATCCCTTTTCCGAGCTCACATCCCTTACGCCTTTCAGACACCCTCCTGTCTCGCAGGACACCCAGCTCACGGGCTGCCCCTTGGCTCAGAGGCAGCTGAGAGAAGATCCAGCCTTGTTTCCAAGGCATCTTCAGCACAGAACGAGCACTAGGGACTAGACCACGCTCAGCAGCTCCCGTCCTGCTCCCTGGATGGGCAGAGTGAGCAGTTGCAGGCAGCAAACAGCCCCCGAGCCCAGCCCACGCGGCGCTTAGCGATGCTCCCCGCACGCGCCGGCCTGCTCTCTGCTTTGCCCTGCTCTCTGAAAGACATCAATATTGGTGCCAAAACCGCACTGCTGAAAACTTCACCAGTTGTTCTACAATYGCGGGGTGGCACTTCTGGATTATACTCAGGATCGCCCATTCGCTGCAGGTTCTTTTATTCGCAGTGAGGCTTCCAGCAGCAGTTGCTGTTAGAGCAATTAAAGAGGGAGGATCCGATAAAAACACACGCAGGATGATAAAGGAAACCAAGAATTAATTTGAGGAGCGTCGGGGCAGCACAAGCTGCCTGCACATCCAGCATCAGCCTCASGTTTATTGGAAGGCAGCTACGAAAAGCCTGTTAACTTTACAGCTTGTACTACAGAGCAGCATTTCAGATGCGTTAGTCAAGGAGCTTGGGGCTTTATGTTATTAACATGTATTTTTATGACAAATCATAAAAAAACTCCCTTCCAAATGGAAACCTAACACAAGTGAGCAGCTTTGCAAAGCGCAGTGGTTCCTGGGCACGCGGGAGCAGACAGGAGGCTTTGGCGGGCAGCTCAGCAGGGCCTCTGGTAGCGCTCAGCTGGCAGCCCCTTTTCAGGGCTCAGTGGCTTGTAGTATCAGCGGGGTTATCAGCAGGGCCGGAACCTGCAGCCTGCAGCTCGTGGAACTTGAAAGACAAACCAGACCCAAGCTCTTGCCAACGCCGCCTTCCCTTTCTGGGGCCCATCTGCTGCAGGGCACAGCGGCCAAGCGCACAAGCACGAGGCCCTGGCACCAACACTCGCTTCCCACCGACTGACGGCAAGGGATGGAGCGGGGACCACCCCGGCCCCTTCGCTTGTTGCACTGCCCGAACACGCTGCACTTGCTGCACTAGCACCCTGTGCCCCACGGGAGGTCGAGGCCCTTCCCGCCCTGCGCTGTCTCAGTGAGGGAGCGCCTTGCTGAGAACCGTGGAGCTCGATACAGTCAAACTTCGCCACAACACCCGCAGGTGTCAGTGTCCTCCAGAGAAGGCCCACGCAAGAGAGAAGAAAAACGGCTGTTTCCAAACCTATCCCGCCCCACAGAGAGGATGAAAATGCTTTCTRGAGGATGAATGGATTCTAGCCATAGAGGATAAGCACAATTTATCAGTTTACTGTTATGTTCAAAATTAATTTCTCCAATTCAATCAATTCATTAAATTTCTCAAGCCTAAGTCCCCCTGCAGATGCTAGGAAGACCCGCGAACGAGCTGCCCCGCAGGCAGCCAGCCCGAGCAAGGCCGTTAGCTGCCTCAGCACAGCACGGAGATCTGGAGCTGCGATTCCTCCTGCAGAGACATCTCCCCCAGAAGGGGGGCTCCCGCCAGCATCACACGTTATACTGAGGATTATCAGTGCCTGGCCACTACTGGCCTCAGGCAACAGGCCAAAACACCACTGCAAATTAAGGTCCTGCCTCACCAAGTCCAAGGCACATGGGAGCAGCCCGGCTTCGGCACGTGAGCAGCACGCTCCGAGACACGGGTGGTGCCGACTCCTTCCTCGCTAGGATCACCCACTGCCGCGGCCCAGTTCCACCCGTGCCCAGATCAAAGCTAAGTTAAAGCAAAAGGGATTTGGAAGAAGCTATTGCGACGGGTAAGTTCTCAGTCATGCTTACTACCAGGTTAGAGGATATCTGAGACAGTATCTTGTACATTAAAACTGTCCTAGTACCAGAAAGAACCCTGGGAGCTATGAAGAATATGCTATTTAAAGAATTCTGACTCTTASCGTTGACAGTATTCTTAAATAAGGGGCCTATATATTTTTGATTGGGCTAAGTTGACTTACAGAAAGCCTCTCCAAAGGTCTTTTATAGAAGAAATATTTCAATTAAGAATAATGAAAAAATAGTCATCGCAAAAGATAATTAACAACAAATATATTCTTTTCCCATCCCCCCTTAACTGCACACTCCTACGTTTTTAGAGCCTGTTACTCTTAAAACATGTTTTGAAATCTTCTAGAACAGCCCTTCAATTTTTGGGGGCATGGTGCAGTCTAAGCAGCTGTTTGAGACATAAGACAGACCACTTTTAATGAGATTATGCATATTTGATACGCTTAAAATGTAGCTTTGCAAATCTTCTCAACTTTTCAGATGGCTTACTGAATTTTTACTCATCCGCCTACCAGAATCATAAACCTATCAGTTCTACTTAAATTCAGCAAACAATCTCGGCAAGATTCTCCTCTCTCTCTCTCTCCACATGAATGGATGTGGTTCAGAAAACGGGATCAGAGACGTGTCAGGATATTCTTTTGCAAGTTCAAGGCTAACATCCTGCCGTAGCTGAAGTTAACTGCCCCAAGTGAGGGCTGCTCCTCGGTGGCCACAGCAGGACGGGAGGGGATTCCAAGCGCAGCGGCGCTTCTGCCTCCAGCAAGCCAGGGGTGAGATGCAAACAGAGCCAGACCTGTGGCATAGAGCTTGAGGTCYCAGCTAGGCTAAGTACGAGGCCTTATTTGTAAGGCAGAACAGATCTAAAACGTACAACACACAAGCAATGGAGAAAYGGGAATTTCAGGTTATTTGCGGATACATGTTGTATAGATGGGCTGATTCCATCTGGAGTTTGGAATGTGAACCCCGCTGGAAGGACGGTCCGTGCTGCGCGTGCCGGCAGCCCCAGCCGGGTGCCTGCTCTGGGCAGCCAGGGCTGCCACCCGTGTCTCTGCTCCGCTCCCCAACAGATCACAGCGAGGTGTCACTCACCGCTGCTTCCAGAATGACATCACTGCAGTTTTAATCCTTCCTGCCACATAGGCAAGCAACATAACTCACCAGAGCAGATTCTGTGCAGAGTGAATTTATGGTCTCCTTTAGCTCAGAGTCCAAGAATCAATTTTGATGTCACTGCTTCCAAACCCACCGATAAGGCACAGCACTAGCAGCTTCAACCGGTCTCTGCAAAGTGCTTCAACAAGTCATTCCTTCTGTATGTGGAATTCACTCCTGCCTCCCCTGCTCACTAGAATTATATGTATCCTTTATAACATAAGACTACTCCTAAAACACAGACATGCAAAGGAGGGCAGACAGCTCACGTGAAGAACAAGCTGCTGGGCCACAGCACTTCTTTAAAGCATTGCTGCCCCGGCAGAGCTAAGTTTTAGCTTGTCACATACATCTGCTTCCTACTCTTTTCTACCACGCATTTCTTTGCATGTTTGACTATTTCTTCACAGACCGGAACAGGGACAAGGCTTGCACTGTAAAGAAAAGGATGCTACAAAGAGGAAGGCAAGTACAGAGAGAAGAGCGTGAAGAAACAGAAGGCTATTGATTAGCACCATTGACATTTACACTCCCATTTGAGCACTTCTCGCACCTCTGCCCTTCCGCTGGGGAGCAGGGGAAGAAGGGAAGAGCGTTCCCTATTAGGCAGGGCTCGCCGCGCTGARTGCTGGCCTTTCGGTGACATTAGACACGTCTGTTCCCCAGAGAGCTGCTCCCAGGACTGCAGTACCTGCTCTGTTAAAGGAYGTCTTTCATCTTGGTTTGTCTGCATCTGGTCCTGCAGCGTGACCCGCCTCCACCTTCTATCAGAAAACAGAACATGTACAAATGCATCTAACAAACTTCCAGCTGGAGCTGCCGCCAAGACAAATCTTAGATTTCTTTTTTACTGCGACATTTGCACTAGGCATAGGAAGTAACTGTCCCTTAAGTGAAGTTTTTCCTTTGTTGCAGCAGGCTAGATTAAAACAGGTCTCTAAATACTCTCCCAGCAGCTCACATCTCAGGACTTCAGCACCTGCCGGYGCAGCAGTTGATCCCTCCCTCACTGGAGCCTCTCACACCCACATCCGAAGTGCAGCAGGGCAAGGGAATACACTGCCTTCCTGCAAAGGAAGCCTGCGCTCAGACTGGAGAGAACACTAGTCCGTCCAAGCAGAGAATTTCTTTCCTTTCAAAAGGGATAAAGCTTTGAATACTCCCAAGGCTGAAATTCAGTAGCTGTTTTTGCTCACACTTCCCCTAAATTTGGAAGGGACACCTCCTCCCTCGCCCCCTCTTAAAAGAAAASGTCCTAATGAAAACTCTGATTCCAGGAGAAAACAATCATCCTGAAAKGGCAAAGGAAGAGATGCCAGTTACCCACTAGTAGCACTTTGGCTCTATTAACCTCTCTTTCAGTGGCATAATACCCCCAGCCCCAAAACAGTGCATAAGCATACAAAAAAATAGTGAGGAAAGTGACTCAGTGAGGCAAACATTATGAGCACACCAAGCAAATAATATTTGCTCATTTGAAATTCAAGATTTATGCTGCAGCTTGGACCTGCTAATTGATTGCACAAGCAGACAGTCAATAAAAAGAATCAATACAAGATGCTCTGCTGAGGTATACAAGGAATTGAGGGGGAAAAGACTTGAAACAGCGGCAATTGTTTTGGTAAAACAACCCAGACACTTGTAGTGTTTAYGGACTCTCTAGTCCCTTGCAGCCCCAGAGGGTTAGCAAGAAGTGCTCTACAGCCAGGAAGACACTGAAGTTCCCATACCCAAAAGCGCAGAGAAGCTGGCCAGGTTTTGGCAGCCAAGGACACATTTTGCCTCCTGCAGAGCCTCGTGCCTCTGCGAGGCTGCACGGCGCCAGGCAGCATCCTGCAGCGCATGAGCAGTCTGCACRGACACAGGCTGCTGCACAAGCAGAACACCGGGACCGCTGTGCAGTTTGCCAAAAGGGAAGCGAGCGTGGCATCAGGAAAAAAGAAGTCCCCTCTCATCTTCTAATATTTGATCTAAGGAAAATTCCAGGGTCTTGGAAAGTTGCCTTATCTTGAGGGTTAACACCATCTCCCCTGCTTTTTAATCTCAGGYAAAGAAATTGAAGATAAAAGTAGCTGTAACATTTTGAATACTTTAAGTACCTTCTAGCATTTCTATTATTCACCCAAATCCTAGCCGCTTTAGGGAAACTAATAAAATGGAGCTTCAACGTTAACAACATCATGGTTAGATTTCAAGGCTTTCAAACCAAGCTTAGAGCTCATRAACGTTTTATCAAGCCCAAACAACTCATTACAAGCCTGTTTCATTGCAGCTCGTTGCAGATGAAGGCAGGACACTTTACCTCTGCAGAAGGGGAGAGGGAAGTCCCAGGAGGCACTGTTTTCGGAATTGGCGTGGCACGTGAGCAGCGCGTGCCCCTCCAGAAAGAAGCCTGGGTTGCAGCTGTAGCGCACTTTGTCTCCAATGCTGAACGTCGTCCCTTGCTGGATGCCGTTCTGCAGCCTTCCTGGGTTTCCGCACGTATGACTTGGTAGAACTGCCAAAGAAAGTTGCTTCTGGTTAGGGCAGTGAGTCATAACACACACATCAAGTGAAGAATCCACACAGATGACCGATCTCAGTGGCATCTTCCTAGTCTCCAAGCAAATGCATCAAAATATAAAGAGCAAATAATCATTAAACTTACCAGCCTGGATTACATGAGAATTCATTAGGCTCATTAAGGCTACCATCTAAGCCCTGTATCTGGTAAGTATAAATAATGCAAGCACAACCTGAGCCAGAAATAAAGTCTTCTCCTTCCTGACCTGTGTTCCCAGCGTGTGCCYCACAGCACTCCCCTCCCGTACAGCCTGCTGCAGCTCCAGCCTTTCGACGTGATTACAGTTGATTAATGCAGAGATTACATTCCTGTTTAAAATAATGCTTCTCAACAGAGCTTTGCCGGGCAGCCCAAAGGCTCCGGGAACCGCCTGAATCGCGTTCCACCTTGGAGACACAGAGAAGGCAGCAAAACCTATAATTAGCAACTATTGTCTAGACAAAATGAGCAACATTTCAGTCCACGGGGATTCATTATCATTTCACYGTACATTTAACCTGGATTTTACACAAATGTATCCAACTGGATTCCTAAACAGCGCCATGGACCCAGCTCYGCTGAAGGCAAAAATGTTTACCCAAAATTTTTCATCAAAATTGATTGAGATTATTTTAATACAGCACAAAAGTTGCAGGTTAAGCACTTAAATCCTGCACACACAGGCAACATCCCTATTGAGCAGCTCCAGGGCAGCTCCACCTGGCTCCTGTGCTGCTCCAAGCCCCTTCCCCAGCCTCAGCCCTATCCCGCTGGGATTCRAGCTTGGAACATCCCCCCAAGAAGCCCCTGCAGCTGGGCAGGTAGCTGGTCACCAGCAACTTCCACACACAAAAATTAATGACTGTGCAGGTTTTATAAGCAGGGAGGATGCTATCAAATATGGCAARTGGCTTGAAAAGCAGTGTAGAACTAATGTTTCATTTTCTGTAATGATACTCAACCCCCCAATTTAATTAAATTACTAATGTATTTTTTTTAAATAACCCACTCCTKCTTTCATGCATTCTTCCTTCAAATTAATGACTGGAACTTTTCTATAAATAAAAATCTATCATTTTTAAAAGTCACTCTGTAACACGAGCTGCTCCCCACTTAATGAACTGTGAAGAAATCAGACAACCCTGACCTGCATCATATCTTAAAATCATAGTTGAAAAATGGAAACTCATTTAAAAATTCTCCTTCCTCTGGCTGTGTTAACGAACACCACGTTACAGGACAGGCGGCGAAACGCGGCTTTCCACGGGGAGGTGTCGTTAAGGCCTCCATGGCTCTRGATTCAGGCAGCAGTGCTTGCCCATCGCTGCTGTGCATCCACACAAAGCAAACGCCGCTTCGGACGGCTGGTTCCTGTGCAGGAAGAGCATCCAGAGGCTGCTCTGACCCCCGGGGCGCAGTGTCAGCCCGAGAGGCAGCGCAGGAGGATGCAGCCGCGCCACTGCATGCGATGCAATGCATTGCAACGCGCCGCTGCAGCACACGCAGTCGGCCAAGGCGGAAGCCAAAGCTGCCTGGCCCTAAGGCGGGAGGGAGGGGAGCAGCCGCAAGAGGAAACCCAGGTACGTCCTGGGAAAACCCAAGGCCCACGTGCCCCGACGGCAGCTGGCCGGGTAGGGACCCGAGCGCCGCAGGAGAAGAGCTCCAAGCCGCCCGGGTGGCAGGGCCCTCGTCCGAGCACCCAGGGCCCTCGTCCGAGCGGAGCAGCCTCCGCGCRCGCAGCGGATTTGGGCTTTTATTCCAACCTTCCTTAGAAGAGATAATATTATTGCTCATACTTGGCTRCCTCCAACAGCCAGACTCTGATTGCTTGAGAGATTAATAGAACTGTATTATTTACATCAGATGTCGCACAGAATAATATTATTGAAGCTTTGTCTTACCCATTTACCAATTCCACTGTAGATCAGTGGCACAGATTTCTCCCCCACCACCCTCTAAGCTGTGTTCCTGGCAWTCAACATAATATTTTCCAGTGATTGCATGGAAATGAAAGCAGCCACAGACCAGATTGGTAGGGCTGAATACAAGGTCCTGTTACTCATTTTGTAGCTAAGTCTGTGTCTTTCCGAGATGAATATAGAGCAGTTTATTTTATTTGTCTTGACTTGAACAACTGCCAAACCATATCTTACTTTATGACAGAAGGAAGGAAAATAGGATTATTTTATTGCAATTGCACCTGCAGAGCTCCTTAACATACCTCAAWCATCATCGTCCCCAGCAGCACTTAGACACAGTCCAGAAAAGTCACTCCTTTAGACGAGGCAGAGCAATCCCGCTTGTGGCATTAAATGCCACCATAGACACAAGTGGCATCAGATCTTTCTTTCATCTCTGGAGATAAGGTCAGGTGAGAGCTGCAGACACAGCTGCCTTACAAAGTGAAGCAAGGGAGGATGATGGCACAGTAAGGAGACAGAAAAAGCATCTTTCTAGCAAGGAGCTCTGAAGTGTCAGGATGTTGGAGAGCATCAGCCAGGACTAAAAYGGTCAAAAATACAAAACTCTCTATTTTTCAACCTGTCTTTCAAATTCATCTAGCCTTCAAAGTGAAACTTTAGGGCCTCAGATCAGTCTCTGCCCACCTTAACTCTCTTCTCCACTGAACTTTTTCTCTCGTTTCCTGCTTCTTTCCTCTGTTTGCTGCTCTGCATTCCCATCCTCTGGAACATGCACGTGCTCCAGGGATGCCTCCTGCCCCTGTGTCCTGGATGCAAGGGCAGMCTCTGTATTCCTCTGCTAAAGACATCAGAAGGGAACACAGCAAGGCTGAGCATCCTCCACCACCCATTCCTGCGAGCTGCTAAAAAAGCCAGACGGATCCCAGGAGCAGTTGGAGAACGAGACCTCCACCCCCTGCCCCTCACTTGTAGCCTCCTTTGTTTATGCCCTTTCCAACCAGCTGTTCACAACTTCTCTGATCCCCATGCCCAGGATGACGATGCTGGAAGTTTTCAAAATCAGCAGCTTTAAAAACCTAGYGCTCAAGAGCTGCATCTCATTGTTCCAGTTCATTCGGAATTAATTAGTAGTTTTGAAGTCATTAGATGTGACTCAACAAATCCTTGGACAGCATCCCACCATCAAGAAGCATTCAGGCTAATTTCATCAGCCTCTCCTAAAACCCCACAGCTCTGTGTCGGGGGAAAAAAGGCAAAGGGACAGACAGGTCCGCCATCCTGTTCATCACGCTGATACATTTGAGTTAACATACATCTCATCCAGGTGCCTTCAAATGAAGCTAAAATACTCCTATCTATCTCTAGCCGACTCACCATTCAGAAGAGAAACCTTCACTGTTCCCTATTCAAATTAATCTTCGGCTCTATTTTCTCTTTATATCGCTCGAATATAAAAACTCCAACATTCAATAGATCCAGTTACTGCATTCCAGTCTATTACCCTATTTACATAGCTAAAAGAAACATTTTTATTGCGTGAATTATCTATGGTGGTTTACGACAGATATTTTAATGCTATTGTTGTTCTAACCTTGAAATCTTATCAAGGAGCACAACTTGTACAATGCAAGACCATGATTATCTCCTTGTTCCCAAYTAATCTTCATTCCTAATAAAAAAGAATAAAGGAAAAGAAAAGAAAGTAGCCATGCCAGAGCAGGCAGGTACTTACCAGCTCCCGAATACAGCTGTTACAGCATGGGATGATTTATAAACCCAATGGAAGGATGCTAGCTAGATCAAGCAAAATAAAGGAACCACTGGGCCAGACTAGTTGGCTTCTCTCTGCACACCTTCCTTTCAGAATTAACCTTTCATAGGCTTTTCCTAATCCCCTTCCTGTTATCCTAGGCTTCCTGAATCTAGAGGGAGCTGGAAGTGAAGAGAGCAGAAAAATGAAGAGGAAGGGTCTCCTCGACTACAGCCCCAGCCCGCCCAGGCAGGGCGGCGGTTCCCTTGGAGGACCACTCACTTGGAGAAATCCAAGGAGATGGTTAAGGAGAACTCCAGAGAACCTGGAGAGTTAATGGAAGGTGCTGTGCACGAGGCCGGCAGGGCACACTCGCCAGCACAAACACGGATTTCCATGGAAAGGGGACACACGAAGGGCGATTTTCCTTCCCTCTTTAGCCCTGACTTTGGGCTCTGTGGACCATGGGGATGCCTAAGACTAGCAGCCTTCACCAGTGCTTTAGCGCAACCTGGTTTAGTCCAGGAGGGTTTTAACCTTCAGAATAAGTGTCCAGTGTGTGCTACAGAAAAGGAAATAAATGGTATCTTTTTCACTTCATTTTATCTTTTTTTATGTCATGATTCATTTCCAAAACAGTCAACAGGAGATAAAAGCTAAATGGAAACTATTTTCTCCCTTTAATATTTCTTTGTTCAGTAAAAAACGGTCAGGTAGTTACTTCTGGATAATAACAGCCCAGAACAGTTCACCATTCATCTTACTTGTGCTAGTAGTTTTAGGGCTCTTCTGGAAACTCATTTTCCGATTCCAATTTACCTTGCTGCAAGATGCTAGAGCAACCTCACCTTGCCTGCCAAGGTGCCAGGCACGCCAGTGGAGCCCTCTTCAAGTCTGATTGAATGTCTCCCACTACAGAAATAGCAAAAAGATTGAGAATAGGAGAACGATGAGATGGCGAGGACAGTCCTGCCTCCAGCCTTCGGGGTACTCGCAGAGCGAGCGCCAAGCAGGGCTCAGTGCTGGCATCCCAGCGTGGGGCAGGGACCTGCTGGCAGGGCTCTCTGAGCAGCACCCATGGGCAGGGATGTGGGTGCAGGCGCCCGTTCAGCTCCCAGCCTCGTGCACCAGCCCGGCGCTCTCCTGAATCAGGACCTAATCAACAAGCACTCGAGGACGTGCTCGGCTTCCAACGTGCTCCAGCCCTGCTGCTTTCCAGTGCAGCGACACTTGAGCACAAGCTTAATTTAAAGCATGTGGTTAAGTGTTTTGCTTCGCAGGAA